TTTCAGTTTATTTGATTTACGTTTTTACGGTAGCTCTGAGCGGGACTCGAACCCACTGTCTTTTCAAGCTAATTTTGTTTTATTTTGATGGCACGCTTGTGTACCACGCCACGACGTTGGTCGTTAAGTGGTGTTCATTTTTCTAACTACTCCAGTGTTCCGATGAGTTGAACGGAAAAGCCAAAACGATTGCTGGTTTCTGATTGCTTCGGTTCTGGTGAGTGTGTATCTAGTGTGATTCGAACCCATGTCGTTTGTATTGGGCGTTTTTTTATTTCCCATGTTAGCTACGCCGTAATATGCAACCACTTCCCCGTTTTATTGTGATTTTGAGTGTTTAATGATGTCTTCCTCACGCGTCACGCCATGACCCAGTTTCAACCACACGGCCATTTTGCAACACAGTTCGTGACCCTCGGCGTCACCCGACTGACTATATGAGCGTTCTCTTCAACTGTTAAGCTAGTAGGATTTATTACCGTTATTATCATTATATTGTCACGTGATTTGTTTTACCTTATGTGTAATGTCTTAAGTATCTTTATTGTAATTTGTATATACCAATTCGTATATACCGAGGAAACGACCCCGATTGAAGGTCATGTATTTTATGACGTCACCAACTCGTGTGTAGGTACTGCTTCTAGATCTGTGCCCTAGTAACTATAATACTACACAATGTACTCGTAGTGTTTGGGGAGAGTGTGAGTACAACAGTGAGTGAGTGACTGTGCCAAGACAAAAAAATTTTAAATAATTGTATTCAATTATTGTATTACCGGTACTTACAGTGTACTCTGAACGCCGCCCGTATTAGCTTGGCTCAACACCTGGGTCAACGCTTTGGGTTTCAGCATTGTTTGTTTCGTAGGCTTTACTTCCCGGTCCAACATACATGCATTCCTAGGGAAAAACAGATTCGTGCTCGTTCTGATCAGCTGATCCGCGCGAAAAGCATGCTGGGAGTAGAAATTTCAATATGAATTCTAAAGTTAGCTAAATTGTTGAAATCCGTTAACCAGTATAATCACTTGATGTTCTACGAAAACTAAATCGTATTTAAAAAAATCTTGTTGATAAAAACGGCATAAGAAGTCAGAGGTTACAACCCCGGAAGTAAAACAATCTAAACATGGCTGGTGTTGAACATGTGGAAGATGTCGTTGAGTATTTTCTGTTTATAAAGTATGATCAGTTGGACAGTGAGGTTAAAAGTCAAAAGGAGGCAGCAGAGGAGAGTTTAGACAAGTATCTAGCGTATTTAAGTTCTCATTTAGTCGACTACATCTGGCAAAGAGACCCATTTAATATTCGGATTGTTCCTGGTGTGGGTGAGTACTTTTTGCTGAATCGACTTGACGTTTCGTGTATGTTATGTATATGATTCGTTCGTCTACTGAAATAGCCATCATTGCTCCCAATACTGATGGTCCTCATTATAAAATGTGATTTATGTTTTTCAGTTTGTTTAGGACATGAAATATTTCAATCACACCTAAAGTAATATCCCATTCTTTTATTTTGTGTATTAGCCTGCAGCCTTTGCCAATGTGTGTCTAAATTCAGTTCTAGGCAAGTAGTACTGCTTACACAAAACACCAACTGGAGGAAAGAATATGCAACTTCAGGTGTAACAAAGACAGAAATCACGTACTTGAGAAATTCAATAAAGATTATCAGTGTAGACAGCCTTGTGGGTGCTTTCTGGTGACATAAGCAGCGTGTGTGTTCTGAATTAGTTGACAACTTAGCAATATCACCATGATTTTAATATCTTAATCAAACATGCAAATTCAGTCTTTACATCTGGGTGCTCCAAGTCACCGACCAATCAGAAGATGTAGGTCAGGTGACATCTAGCTTGGCCTATCATCAATATTTTTTAGCTGTAATTAGTTTTTGCTGAAAAGACTTTTGGGTGTTTTGTATGGAATTTCTTTTCACCGATTTTTGACAAGTTGAAAGTAAAATATAGAAAAACAGGTATTTTCGCTGAATTTTATTTTCACTGAATCATTCCTTCAGCAAAAATGAATTTCAAGCAAAAATAAAGTATTTTAAAGTAGCAACTTGTTTAATTTACAATTACATGTACTTGTTTTTGCTGAGTATATTTTTTCAATGGTGTATACAAAAGAATTTTTTTTTAGATATTTTTTTTTTTCAGGGGGCAACCCAACCCATTTACATGGAATCACCAATTATGGAGATAACATTGAAGATGAATGGTTTATTGTTTATTTACTTTTCCAGCTGACTGAAGTGTTCCCAGAACTGACTGTCAAGTAAGTTAATTTTAACCAAACAAATGTCTTATTATTATTTCATACTTTCACTGGCTGCAGTCAAATGTGGGTGTACCTGCAGCCACCTGCAACCAGGAAATTGGACACTTGTCGATTGATACCAACACTCCATTTCAATCTCATTTTCACTGGCTGCAGTCAAATGTGGGTGTACCAGCCACCTGCAACCAGGAAATTGGACACTTGTCGATTGATACCAACACTCCATTTCATACTTTCACTGGCAGTCAAATGTGGGTATACCAGCCACCTGCAACCAGGAAATTGGACACTTGTCGATTGATACCAACACTCCATTTCAATCTCATTTCAGTGCAAGTTGGCAAATTAGATACAGAGCTCATAACCATAACGATAACACAGATATTGTCTTCTTATTTTAGATAAACAATAGAAATAAATTATCATAGAAATGGAGGTCCTTTGCATTTTCTTCTGTCAACTCTCCAGAGGAGAACATTATTTTATCTTGGTTATAATTAGAAAACCAGTCAATCTGACATACTTTGGTTGATTCATAGGATTTCTGACAGTGATGGTGAATTCCTTCTGATAGAGGCTGCAGATTATTTACCAAAGTGGTTGGATCCAGACACGAGCATAAACAGGGTAATTCAACATAATACGGGTACATGTAGTTGAAATCTCTTAGTACACCACCTACAGTGAAACTTTAGTCCAACTGTCCATACATTGAATCACATTGTATGAATAAAATTTGATGGTCTATCACCTATTTTTATCGATAATACCCACCTATTCCCATTTCATCAAGTTGGAGTAATCAGGCTATTAAAGATTAGGCCAGACTTTTTTTTTTCCTTGTTTCTCAAGTTTTTATAAGACAATTTTTTTGAGGAGGGCGGGAAAAAAAATAAAATTTATTCTTTTTTTCCATTAGATTTGTGTGATTCTCAAAGAATTATAAGAGAGATCATTGATCGGAGGGAAGAAATTAAATACAAATTTATTTCATGTATAACCTTGTTCTTCATCTGCGTGAGACTTTTGGACTTTGATCATGATACTCCCACGAAAATGCAACTTGGATTTGTTATGCGGCAGGCGGTAAAAAAATGAAGATAAAAATAATATATCTTTTTAGCAATTTTTTGCGCTTACAAGTCGGCGGGCGCGAGAAATTACGCTGAAATAAAATTTAAATTTTTATTTCATTTTCGGCTCCTGTTCATTCGACGGGTTCGCGAAACAAGGGATAATAAAAGTCTGGCCTTAGTCAAATAAAATAAATATTGTGTTTCTGGTTACATTGAAAAACAAAAATAGAGAAGGTTGGGAAGTATAAATTTTCTTCTTGTCATTAATTTTTTAAAATTATTTCTGAAATAATTGTCACCAAGGTATTGCATGGTCACATTGTTGTTATACGGGAGCATGCAAAATTGAAATTAACGAGAAAACGTTCTTTAAATTTGAAATTATATTGTTATATTTTCAGTAAAATTACTTCTATTACTTTTTTTTAGGTTTTCATTCAGAATGGGCAGCTTCACATTATCCCACTTCCTGTGTCACCGGCAGATATTGGCGTACTACCGACAGAATCACCAACATTGCAGATATCGCTACAGACGGTATATCACCATCCACATAGAACTGTAGCATCTACACAGATACAACAAGCTGTCAGAAGAAAACTGCAAAAGTAAAGACTTAGGTTCTTTATATCAGTAGCAATTTTATTTGACACAAAAGCAATGATTCTGTTATATAGTCAAACCTGTGTTACTGACCATCTGTGGCTTTGAAGTCCAACAAATAATTATTAATTTCTTTTTGTTTCTAAAGTATTACATAATGTGGGATTTTTTTCCTAGTATGAAATATTATTTTTGGAGCGAAACTGTCTGAAATCATGCAAAAATGGGCGTTTTTTTATTCCATGTTGAAGCATTAATTCATATACTGTAGAAATAAATAATATTCATCAAAACTTCCTAAAAAATTAGGACAATCGTAATTACTCATTTTATAAATATATACGATTTTTTTACCCAAGCAAACCTTTCTACCATGGAAACCAATAGTAAATGGCTAAAAAGAAAATCCTATTTTCATACTTTTTTTTATCTACAACTACATAAAATAAGCCATAACAAAAAATGAAATGAAAATTTTGCGATATGTTTTAATGGTAGACATTATCATCATGAAATGCTGTACACGAAACATCATTTGTGTGATATAATATAATATGTCTGGGATAATAGATTTCAAAAAACTTTGATGAGTTGGGCTGCTATATTTAATTTTCTAGCATTATGAATAATGTTAGGTGTACTGATACAAACTAACTTTGGCAGATGTACCTGTATTTCTTACCGGTACCACATAATAATATGAGGTTATTACAAGGATACCTCAAAGTTAGTACAGCTGGAGTGTCGA